TGAACCAGACAATCAAATGATCCACATCATGATCGGTCTATACAATTAGGATACGATGACATGTGTCAACCAAATCAGCGAACTTGACCACCCGATCCCGATAGTCGTATGGATTGCTGAAGACCGCAGTTTTGTTCCTTTTTTTTATCACGATGAGCACATACAATATACGTATTGCTATCTGAATTCTGGGAATGATTCTTTTGAAAGTCGCACATAGTGCTGTTGTTTGCGGAAACAGCCAAATGATTTGTAGAAGGCCAAGTATCTGAAATAACATTTTTTGTCAACATCTGTAAACAATGGAATGCTCTGGGTTCCTTTCCATCAAAAGCAAGACATTTTCAGAAATTAAAACCGTCAAGTGTTAAGTTCATGTTTGAGAGGCGTATCAGAATATTCAGCATCGATCTACGTAGTCATAAGGGATACGGTGACACACCTGTTTATGCAAGGTGTACTACAGGTAAAGCATGACCTGTTTACCCTGGTGTCACACACACCAGGTGTCATCTGATTTTCAGTGATCCGCTCTCTTAAGTTCATCACTGTTGACTTATATTGTGCTTTTCCAAGTGAAATTGTTACAATGTATATCACTTATATGTTGAATATTTCAATATACTTGTACCTACTGTGTTAATATGTGTAGTTTATAGAATATTGCCACTATTCCCTCATGGAATGCTGTGCAATATAATATCCTGTACGGAGCGGTATTCAGATAAGCAACATACTGCTTGTTTACCAATCCGCTTCCATTTTTGAAAATAAACTCTGTCAAAAAAGAAACGCAACCCCTGTCCTCAGATATGAAAAATTCGTTTGAATGAAGTTATTGCTTCCAAACTAAATTTTATTCGAATGTATTGAAATGATACACGTAATTAATGAAGATTACCATCCAAACAACTGCATTTGTACGCATAAGTGTATTTTATTGCTTATTCCGTCACAACGCATGAAATGACCCTCATGGTGACTTCGCACAAAAAACACACATGCAAATCATGAAAATGGCAGTTAATGTAGGGTGTATAAAAGCCCATGTGCTTCCGTATTATATTCATTCATTTGTCGCCGAAAAGCTGTGTTAAAAATGCCACGATTGAGTGCTGCCGACCGAAATATCGCCATTGGTCGTGTTCAAGCCGGAGAAAGTTTTGGAACTGTTGCACGGCACCTAAATGTTCACAAAACAACGATATCCCGACTTTGGAGCCGCTACAACAACTTCAATTTGACCAACGATCGCCCGAGAAGTGGAAGGCCAAGAATCACGACCCCCCTTCAAGATCGGTACATCCGGGTCCATCACCTGCGTAATCGGCATGCCCTACCAACCGTGACTGCCACACAAATACCAGGTTTGAGGAGAGTGTCAGCTCAAACGATTAGGAACCGTCTGAAAGAAGCGGGTTTACGTGCCTGTAGACAAGTTGTTGGACCTGTACTACGCCCCCTACATCGACGCCGACGACTCAGGTGGTGCAACAACGTAAGGATACGGACTTTACAAAACTTGAGGCGAATCTGGTTTTCTGATGAATCACGTTTTCTTTGCAACGTCACGACGGAAGACAGCGTCTGTATAGGAGACGTCATAAACGTTTTGCGCCCATCTGCGTCCGGACAGGTGGACAGATTTGGCGGAGAAAGCGTCATGGTTTGGGGAACCATCTCATACAACCAGAAATCAGACTTGGTGATCGTTCCAGGGAACCTGACAGCCCAACGTTACATCAACCACGTGTTAGAGCTTCACCTTCTCCCGATTATTGACCAACAGACACAGATTTTTCAACGGGACAACGCCCGGCCTCATACTGCACGTGCAACAATGAACTTTCTGCAGAATTCCAACGTCAATGTCTTGCCATGACCCTCTAAATCACCAGACCTCAACCCTATTGAACACCTGTGGATACTCTGGATCGACGCGTACGTCAACGTCAGCCGCCGCCACAGACGCTGCAACAGCTCGCCGTTGCACTGCAGGAGGAGTGGAGAGCCATTCCCAGGAAAGAATCCGGCGTCTTATCCGTTCTTGTCCAAGGAGATGCCGTGCAGTGATTGCAGCGCGTGGTGCTCATACGAGATACTGAGAAAGACGCCCCCCTGGTGACAAACTGGTGTCTGTGAGATGACTTTTGAAATGACAATTTTAAACATGCCCATCTGGGTTATTATTCTGCCAAATTTCAGACTTCTGTCTTAAATAATAAAAATGCCGTGTCGTCCTAAAACTTCAGATCAAAATCTCTAAAATACAGGGGTTGCGTTTCTTTTTTGACAGAGTTTATATATGTTTAAAGCAAATATCTTATCTCACCCTATAGTCCAGGGGGAGGCAGCTGAATTTTTTTAAATCGTAGCCTCCCCAGTACTGATTTTGTTTGACACTACTTTCAGTTAGTATGATGTCTTGGGCTCATGAAAAGGCCTGTAATACTCTCAGATTGTGGTATCAGTTTTTTGACAGGCCATTATATGTGGTGGGGGTCTGCGAGCTATCTTGACCGATGGTTCTCCTTGATCAGATACGAGGGTCGGTCAAACGTTGTCGGCCTAACTATTTTCTCGATGTCCAATCTTTGAAAAGATTATATAATATTTTGAAGGAATCATAAGCAAAGCCATATGCAAAATTTCACATATGCGGGTAATGTGGTTAACGAGATATTAGTCATCACAACACATTGGGGTGTAATATTTCTAAACAAAATGGTAGATAATGGCGATAGTATCACATAAAATATGTTCAGTATAGTATTGGATGACTTCCCATCGTAATCAACAGTCACAGATGTGGATTGCTTGATTTATATTTAGACGGAGGCTATTTTTTAGTCTTTCAAAAACATTGTGTCCAGATATTCAAGTTGGCACTGTTTACAATATATTGAGAGCTGACACTTGCGTGACCTTTCAGTATTTAGTTTGAACCCTTGGCATCATGCATGAATAAGTGAAAACATTAGAATAAGTTATGTCCTTATGATTACGTCATACGAAATGGGTTGGGTAGTGTCACCAAAACGAGTTCTTTCAGTAAACATGAAAGGGGTCACTTTAACAAGCGATTGTAATATCTAAGTTTGATTCTAGCGGACTATCCCAAACACACAAAATGTTTCTTGCATAATTTGTTTCCTGAATTTTGTGATGCATGTAGTGCAGATTTTGCATTTTTGGGAGTACCAACATAAACTGTCAAACAAAATGGGGATCGTGAGGCTGCAACATAGCAAAACAAATGTGCTTGAGGTTGACAAATATATATAGCATGTAGAAAAATATAACATAAAAACAACTGATGCAGATTTAGGCAAAGGACGTCGACAATGAGTATAAACATATAAGATCCTTGTCGGGATCGAAACAGGCATTTTGTGTGCCCATCACGCACTACACAAATACAAGTGAACATGGCTGCAGCAGCAGCAACAACAGCAGCAACAACAACAACAACAACGTCAACAATAATAATTATCTCAACAGTATTTATTGGGATTATTTGAGAGAAAAACGCTTTATTCAATAAAAGCTGACTGTAGCCCCTGTTTACAATGTCTTTAGTGAGTTAGTGAGTGAGTGAGTGAGTGAGTGACCAGACATCGTACCCATGTGGCGAATCGAACCCACCCAGGTCTTCAGCTTGAGGAGCGGGCACCCCTCTAACTCCATTTCTAGAAGACCAGCAGATGTGAGAAGATAATATTTCTCCCAACATTCCCAGCCGAGATCTAATTTGGAAGGTTGACCAAAGTGGCAGTTAGGTGAATATTATCATCACTGTTTTCGTTGCTATAACCACTTCTTTCATTATATATTGCCCTTGTATTTGTACAAGGGCAAGTACGTCTGCTGTATTTTGTACTGCCATTGTATTTACTTTTTAGTAGTTTTTAATATTTACTTCTAAACATTGTTCATATTAGAGTACAATTGTTAATTATACAAACATTGTTGGTTCCACATTGTATTGAAGATCACATTCGTTGTGATCACCAGGCATTAGGTAGGCTGGTGGAATCACTCTACAGTGCGTCGAGAAACTATTTCACACATTCAAAACAGTACAATTGAATAACAGACAATTGCTTCTAGAAGATGTGTTATAAATCAAGCTACATTTTATAATTAGGATATTTTGCAAACAGATATGAAGCAGGTTTGACTCATTCAGTAGAACCATGAGACCATAGAACATGAAGTAACATGATGGACACACAGTTACTTCCCTTAGACCATACAAGCGACATACATTCCACTGCATTTCAGTTGTTGATTTTAAACATGGTCGTTGATATTGAATTGGTATGTACATCTATAATTTGAAATGCTCATCGGCATATTGTATTTAGTTACCTTTCCCGATTAACGCTTTCAAGTATAAGTGTTGTTTTGTCGTGTGACAACAGCTGTCATCGATGTATCAGATAATAGAGGTGTTTCTACAACACGAGGTACAAATGCAGATCTGATGGGTTTTGTGGTCAGCGTCACCCATTTGGTAGATGTATTCATCGCCAGTCCACATGCTACTTTAATGTTGGGATACTGAATATGAAGCCAGGTATGTTTCCTTTCAGGGCTGTTGTCTCTGTATCGTAATTATAGGTGTTTGAAAACGTGAACCGAACTCCATCAGTGGTTACAGTCTGCTTTCCATTTATCCCAATGTAGCCTCTGTAGTTCTTGTGACTCCCGTAACCTCCCCAGCCTCCAGAAATCCCCTGGCCCCCCTGTGATCCAAGTAAGCCTCCTTATCCTTTAAATTCATTCTCACACAGAGGGTGTATGTGGCGCCTGGCTGCAGCGGTACCGACTCAGAGAACAAGATGTCAGTCATCTGCCCATGCCCGAGAAGCTGCACGTCGGTCTCCAGTGGTTCAATTATATCTGATTCATCTTCGTCATACAGTGACATAATCACTGAAACATTCATGTCACCATATCTACCATACAGCTGAAAACCTTTCAGTTGAATCCTGTGATTGACACGAATCGAGAGAGCATGTTTTCCTGCCCCACTACATTTCACACATGACACAGTTGCAAATATCAGGTTCCTGCATTTGCTTTCTCTTTAAACCTACAAATGGGGAAATGTCAACAGTAGAGTCAATAGATCTGTCAATAATTTTAACTCTCTCCTCCGCTGTCAGTAATCCAGATGGGCCCACAACCTTCACTAGATACTCCAGGGACAGGCTGGTGAACCGGATCTCATACCTCATGTCACCCAAGAGTCTTCGTCTGTTCTCAGGCGTGTCACTCACACCTTCCTTCCGGCATCTTTTCTTTGTCCAGGACAGCACTGCTTCAAATATATCTTCCTCTTTCAGGTTCAGCGTCTCCGATTTCAGGAGAATTTCCAGACAATCAGAGCAAAGACCCACAAATCCTGGAGACTTGGTCACTCTCTCCCCTCCTTCTGTCAGGATCGTCAGGGCCTTCTGTTCCAAGTCTAGTTCCCCGTAACCATGACACTCCTCCAGGATCTGGCAGACATTGTCTTCTGACAGGGACTCCTCCAAGAAAGTTACACAGAGATCGTACAATGCATCAAGAGAGTATTTCCTGGATGTGTACATTAGTCCCGTGACTGTTTCAGCGTTGATTCGGGCCTTGTCTGTGTACATATACCTACAATAAATCATAATGGTTCATTTGGAGACAAAGTTGTTCTTGTGAATCACCGCTCTTTTAAACATTACTTCCCATAAATATTAGAAGTCACATTGGGGAGGATGTGAGTGCTGAAGATGGAGGGGTAATGGAATATTTCAGTATTTTCAGCAACACATTCTTCAATAATTGCAGCTTAGCTATAGATGATATTGGTACATACTTTGTTCCTTGATTTTTGCTACACTGAACTTCAACTTGATATTCAACAGTTTACACTTATTATTGCAGTGCGCTATAACCTATACTCACGAATTTAACCTGCTAAGTAATAAGTGAGATAACGCATGTAATTCTGGATCCGTTGCAGCTTCATTTCACAGTATAAATGCTACAATGTCTGTTCACATGTATAGTAGGGCTGGGACAGGTCCATATTTTCTACCCGGGTACCCCACCTCTTATTACCCTACCCTACCCGGATACCCTTTATGTTAATTCCTGACATCGAAGTTGTAAGAAATGGCAATATATTCTGCAATTCGGAATTTTAAATTTCGAGTTTTTCAATATCTAAATCATGCATTATATTCAAAACAGGTGACAGTAAATTATGTCTAAATCTTCAAAGACAGCACAACCTATTAATCATGAAAGAATAACATATTATCTTGTTTAATGAATTATTCACATGATCATAACAGGTCCGGGTATTGAGTCGGGTACCCGGGTCCAATTGATTACCCATCCGTCCAGGGTATCCGGGTTACCCGTCCCAGCGTGTTACGACGTAAATTGTAATTAAAACGCAAATTGAAATACTTGCAGCAAATTGTATTAAACTTGACGTAAATTGTAATAAAAACGTAAATTGTAATACAAATTGACGTAAATTGTAATACGCAAATTGTAATAAAAATTGACGTAAATTGTAATAATTTTCGTTGCGGTAAAATATAATAATATTTACGTAAAATTGTAATAACAGTTTTAATCACTCGTAAATACGCGGGTGTTTGTTTTTCGTTGCATTTCATACATTAAATAAACTTGTTAGGGCGATAACTAACTAAGAAAAGATGGATTTTGTTCAAATTTGGTACCAAGGTATATTGGCGAGATTCACCGACACAAGTGAAATGGAGTGACGGGTATATCAAATCAAATCAAATCAAATCAAATTAGACATTTGTATAGCGCTACATATCCAGAGTCCTGCTCATGTGCGCTTAGTCGAATGCTCGTTTGAAGAGGATGGTTTTGCGACAAGATCGGAAACTGTTGATATTTTCCGATTTTCTGACATTTTCAGGTAATCAATTCCAGAGTACAGCACCCGGTCTACTAAATGATCTGTCTCCGTATGTTGTGGTTCGGACAAATGGAATAGCCTAGCTGACTAGCAATGAAATGCATCACAAATTAAACTTCAGGAAACAAAATATGCAAGAAACATTTTTGTATGTTTGAGATTGGTAGAGGTCGACTAGAATCAAACTTAGATATTAAACTGCACAAAAGGGCAATTTGAAACTACAATCGCTTGTTCAAATGACTCCCCCTTCGGTTTACTGAAAGACTGACTGAGTTTAGTTTTACGCAGCTTTCAGCAATATTCCAGCAATATCACGGCGGGGGACACCAGAAATGGGCTTAACACATTGTGCCCATGTGGGGAATCGAACCCGGGTCTTCGGCGTGACGAGCCAACACTTTAACCACTAGGCTACCCCACCGCCCATTTACTGAAAGAACTCGAGAAAGAAATGATGGATTTTGTTCAAATTTGGTACCAAGGTTTATTGACGAGATTTACCGACACCACTTGAATTTAGTGACCTTGAGGTCATTGTAAAGGTCACAGCGAAGGTGTAACAGTTTTGCACATGCCATGCTTGGTAGCCGCGAACTTAGGAAAGAATTAATAGATTTTGATCGAATTTTATAACAAGGTATATTGGCGGGAATCCCCCCTACACCAATTGAAACAAAATATGCAAAAAGCATGTTGTATGTTGGTAAAAGTCAAACTTAGATATTAAACTGCACAAAAAAAATATTTTAAACTATAATCGCTTGTTTAAGAGACTCACCCTTCATGTTTACTGAAAGGGGTGGTTTTGGAGACACTACCCACCCCCTTTCAGTTGACGTCATCATAAGGATATAACTCATCCTAAAGTTTTCACTTATTCCTACATGGTGGCAACGGTTCAAACTAAATACTGAATGGTCACACAAGTGTCAGCTCTCAATATGTTGTATATCTGGACACAATGTTTTTGAAAATGTAAAATGAGGGTGTCCTAAAAAACAGTCCCCGTCTAAATGTAAATCCAGCAATCCAAATCTTTGAATGTTGATGATGACGGGAAGTCATCCAATACTATGCTGAACATATTTTATATGATACTATCTGAGGGTATACCATTATCCAAGAGATAGCGCAATAGTGCAATTGTAAGGCGTCTGTACAGTCCCCAGGGAGGAAACTAAGATAATGTCCTATGATCGGGGATAGTAATGTACGTAGCGCCGTTAGCAGGCAATGTGCCTGGATGTGAGCGCCATATAAGCGGACTGTTACTATTACTAGATACCAAATGGGAGATGGTTTTCCATTTTCTGAAAATTTGCAAGAAACATAATACCCCAATGTTGTGATGACTTATATCTCGTTAACCACATTACCCACAATTTTGTATATGACTTTGCTAATGATTCCTTCAAAATGAAATGGAAGCTTTTTTTTAAACATTGGACATCGAGAATATACATGTAGTTAGTTTGACTATTTTTTCAACGCCCCTCGTAACATACTTAAAAGAAATGAGAACGTCTAAGGAAAAAAGCATTTCGATCTCTGAATACTTCTGAGCTATTTAAATACAAAAAGCAAAGGAATAAAGTAAATAATCTGAAAAGAATAGCCAAGGGAAACTTTTAATCTATTTTTGATAACTATTTATCACTTCAGTCTACTCAATCAGGTGGTTACTACTTCATCGGGACCCACTCCCCTTCTTGTCACTGATGATTCTGGGATACCTTCAGTTTTTACAGATTTGGATAAAGCTCAAACATTTAATGAATATTTTGTATCTGTTTCAAATGTTACTGATAGCGGCAAGACTTTGCCACCTGTTAGCCATCGCTGTGTTAACAGTATAACAAATGTCATTGTAACCGAAAAGGAGGTATCTGATAAGACCTTACCAGCAAACACATCTAGTGGACCTGATGGCATTAACATGAGAGTGTTAAAACGAATTTGTACATCTATAGCTGAACCTCTTTTTTAGTTGTATAATACATCACTGAGTGACTGTATTTCCTACATTGTAGAAAACGGGTAATGTTACTCCTATTTTGAAAGAAGGAAATGCATCCCTCCGAACTAATTACAGACCTATTAGTTTAATACCTATCCTTTGGAAAATCTTTGAAAGAATAATGGTAAAGCATGTGCACGACGATTTCCATGAACATAACATTTTAAGTAAATTCCAGTCAGGTTTTACTCCTAGTCATTCTACTACATCTCAACATAGACATTTATCATAACATATGCTCAGTCCTAGAAAATCACCACCTTTACTCTATGCTGCTTTATGATATTTCAAACGCTTTTTTACAGGGCATGGCATGAAGGTTTATTGCACAAATTAGAAAATGATGGTGTTCGTGGAAACGTACTTAGTTGGTTAACTAACTATCTATCTGGGCCCGGTTGTTCAATACTCGGTTATCTTCACCGCCGGTTAACTCCTAACGGCCGAATACATCCTTAACCGGCCGTTAGGTAACCGAACGTTAAATATGCGTTGTTCAAAACATGGTTAGTCATGCCGTTAGCTAACGTCGCCGTCAAAGTTTAACAGTGTGGTTAACGTCACTGGTTAGCTTCCATATATCCCATAGTTCCGTTTACTTCCGGTTTACCAAAAATGGAAACGCAAATGTTGCCTGCACCCCAAGGAAAAAGAGAAGTCGAAATTTCTCTGTTGACGAAGAGAATGTAATCCAGTCAATGGTTGAGGCCAACTCAATAGTTTATCATAGGCATGCAAATGTCGTAGCGTTACGAACATTTTGTATTGGAACACAAGGTTCCAGCCGTTTGCATAATTTATATTTCAAAGACATATGATCCCAGCTCTGTATGGGACTTACTTCAATTCCAGCAACAGAAAAGACATTTTAATGAAAAACTATAGCACAGCTATAGACAAAATATGATGAATCCATGAAAATAATATTAATATTAGAAGCATTTTGTCCGTTGTTAGAAAATGTATAAATATTACACACAGAGTTACGGTTAGACGGCTACAGTCTTAAGGAATTCCCACAAGACCTATCGCTCACTTTTCACTCCTTAAATTGTCATGACTGTATGGCCAAGTCGTAAAGATGCTATCAATATCATTTATCATTATTTGCCAAGTCTGTCAAAAATTGTAA